CCTCCCGTGAGTGCAAATCAACATGTGTCTTCTGCAAATACTAAATGGTGCTCAATTTCCGTCCGATTTCCGCTGTGTCGCGAAGTTAAACGCCTCCAAGCCTAATCCTAAACCCGCTGCAGATTCTACCCGGCGTCGAAATTCTGCCACTCTCTCTCTCTCTCTCTCTCTCTCCACGCCCAGCAGCAAGCGAGCGATTCGAGTGAGCGAACGGCTGCATCGCGCCGCCGCCGGAGTCGATTCAAGGTGCAGTCACCTTTCTCAGGCCGGGTGACCGTGGAATTCCACTGGGTACACTCGGGCGGAAAAATAATCTCGTTCCGTAAAGTACATCTTCGCCGTACACGTTTCGTTTCTCTCTCTCTCTCTCTCTCTCGCCCATTCTCCGTTCTCTCTCTCTCCTACCCTCCTCCCCTCGCTTTCTCGTACTCTCCACCGCGGCCATTACGCCGGTCGGCGGACTAACTTAAACTCGGCCGCGCCCCGTGCATTTTAATGCAGCCGCGATTTATCAGGGCCACGGGATTTCCGATGTGCCGCTACCGCCGTCGCGGGAATTGCCCTTCCCTCGTGTAATATTGAAAGTAAAAGTGACCGGAAAATTACCCACGTGGCGAGGTATAATCGGGTACCACGATTCGGGGACGATTAAATGGCAGTATTTCGGCGGCGTGCGGACCAGAGGAATTCGGCTCACTGTACCGCGGTGGGAGAGTGCGGAGGGAGGGGAGGGGGGGGAGAGGGGGAAATGTAACCTTTCTCTCGAGGATTCAAACCCTGACGTCGGCAAAACGAATCGTGTCTCTGTTCTCGGTTCCTCCTCATGGGATGCATTGTCTCGCGATTGACAGACGCATTCTACGAGGAACAAAATCGAAATTCGAAAAGTTGTAAAAATAATTATTGTTGATGAGTTTAATTTGTTAATGATAAATTTAATGGATTAATAATTAATAATTATTATTCGTCAATTATCTGTTAATTATTTTCTGTTCCGGAGAAAGAGAGAGAGAGAGAGAGAGAAACAGAGAAAGACGCTAACGAAAGCATCGATAACGAAGGAGATTTTAGAATGTCGCGTTTTAGATCAATCTTTAAATATAAACGCGAATTTGCATTGTTAAATTCATAATGTCAAATCATACCCAATTAGAGTTATTTTTAATCATTTTTGTAAGGCGCCATTGTTCCTACTTAATATTTCATCAATCAAAACAATGAAGTTAAACAGTTTATATCTCAAGAAAATGTATTAAATTTGATCCAAATTTAGTTTATTATTTACTAACAGCGCACATATACAGACGTTTATTGTATTATTATAATTATTATAATTTATTTATTTATTATAATTTATTATAATTAATATGTGGACGATGTTTATTTTAAAACTAACCACGGGAATGAATTAATTTTGACGTGAAAATTAAAAATAATGAAATTTTATTTAACTCAAAAAATTGGGTTACTTCATTGCTCATTTGATATCTAACAGTGGACGATATTACCGCGAGAATTCTCTGACTTCCAGTTAGAGATCGATGTGACCTCACGATCTGAAAGACACTCATCCGTTGGGGAACGAGGGGAACGGACGACGATACCCGCGTATTTTAGAAACCTGCGCGGTTCCTTAATAACAGCGTAAACCTTCTTAAGGTTAAATCCTTAACGCGATCTTATCCTTAACTTACATATCGACCAGAGGAAAAAAAGAAACGACCGTCCTTACATCGCTAATTCGCGTCGCAATATCAGATAATGTTTTGATAGTTTCTCCATCCCCGCAATCCCTTAACGATCGAGGGATCAAATCGTATGCGGATACCCGCTTACCAATCGTCTCTCTTTCTTCCTTTATTTTTCTCTCTTTTCATCTTTAGTAGGCAGGTACCCGGAAACTCCACGACGATCTAGAATTTCTTATAGTTAAAGATAGTCGAGGACGCGTTGACACTAGCTCAACTATACCGTCTCCGTCGTGCCTCTGTACATTGGTGTTTTTATTTAGAAAATAATTCGACCGTTTAGAATATATATATATATATACTTTTTATTTATATATATATCTGTATATGTATATATTTATATAGCTGCGTCCTACGTTACTTATATAATACGTCAATCTCCTCACATATGATACATGTCTCATCTCGCGCGACACGAACTCTCAGTTGCGCGTCCGTCTGGAATAAAACGATCGAGTGGTGATCGATGGATCTTAACGAGTCGCATCTGTTCTTCGAATCATCTGATCTTCGGATCCTCAGAGCCATACGGACTCGTTAAGCTCTCGCCCTCGGATCGGCTTCAAGAATGACTCGGCGTAGACCGATGCGCTATCGAACTTCAGTTTCGATCGAGCTCGGCGGTCTTCAGCACGATCGAGTAGTCGACCGCGCATATAGAATTTTTACGCGTGTATATGTATGTATTGTATGGAACACAACAGACTCCACGTGGCCGGATGGCCCGTCATTTCTGGGAAAGGAGAGGGAAGGAGATCGTGGACCGACCCTGTTTTCCCACGGGTTATCCGCGCGAAGGATTTCCGTTTGGCATCACTCGTCGACAGTGCTGATCTTGTGGTCATCAGTGATAAGACGGACGTGATAAAAATCCTGGCGAAAGTCATTCCGTGTCCGTTGGGTCTTCTTTTCTTCGAGATTCTGAGACGACTCCCCACGGTGACGTGGAGAGGATATTAATCTTCGAGTAGTCGCGCGCGGGAAGATGGGCTTATTAAGGATCGCTTAGGATTACAGACGAGGTGTATAATTTTCGGAATGACATCTCGTTCCGGAAAAGATGCGGCATCTTTTACAGATATACTTAATGCAAAGCTTATCCGCACCTTTTGATTACGATGGGGAGCCTATTGGTTATTTGCTTGTTTGTTGCGTCATTTTACAGGCTAAAAAATTAATTTAAAAAAATTAGAAAAAAACAATTGAAAATTTCGAAAAATATTTCAGATGTTAAGATGTAATCTGCGAAGAATTACTAATATTTAGACTTTACATTAAGCAAGTTATATTACAAAAATCTCATAATTAATGTTCAATATAAGTTTTTCTCCTAATAACGTCATAAAAGCGATTAGATATTGTATCTAAAAGCTCAGTTTCATTTTTTTCCTTCGAAAATACTTAAATAAAAGTATCAACTAACAAATGTCTTTCTAGCACCGATCGTTGGTTTTCGACTGATCGTGAAATTGATGTACGATGGCCGATCCACGATGATACTAATATTTCGATCGATTTCGTATACGAATAGAAGTCTTGAATAAATTGTATATCGTGGCGATATGGCGATCACACTTTAGTGTGATTTTTTTGGTCTCGCTTCTTGATATATTCTTCGTCAGCATGGTCAGCCTTCTTCCCATTTTACTAGTTTTCCTTTTTTTTTTATTACGCGACGAAAGGAATTTTCTTCTGATTAGCCTCCGCTGGTCTCCTTCATCTTTTCAAATTGTCAATTTCTCCATACTATGTGAAACACAACGGAGGAGTCCACGGTAATCATTCGATCACGTCTTTTCTGGACTACAAATCCTGTTTGTGCCGTTTGTCTATCTGCAACGTGTGACGCGTCCGATTTATCATCTACGCTCGGTACGTGCCGATCACGCCCATGTCCAGGTTGTCGCGCAACTCCATCTCCAGTTGGGTCTCCCTGTGCTTGTCGGACCGGTGCGACGTTACCGGTGGCGGTGGTGGAGGTGGCGGCGGACCGCCGTCCCGCTCACGATTCCTTTCGCGAGCGGACGACCTATCTTTCTCTCGCTCTCTCGTGTGATGATGATAGTGATGAGCAGCGTGGCCATTGACCGGCAGAGTGGGATACGAGGACTGGCCGCAGTTGGGCTGATGCCTGGAGGGTAGCGGTGGCGGTGACGACTGATGGCGGCCACCGGCTGGGACTCCGTTTTGAAGTCCGGACTCCAGAGTCCGTATCCGATCGTCCGGCTCTCTGGCAGAGAGTTGCGGTTGCGAATGCGGCGTACGGCGCAAGGAGTGACTGGAGTAATGGGATCTCGCGCTGTTAGATGTGACTCCGTCGATCGACGCTGCGCTCAGCGATGCTGTACCATCGTCTACGACTCCTCTGACTCCTCCTCCCGTTCCGCTACCTCCACCACCTCCTCCACCACCTCCTCCACCACCACCACCACCACCACCACCACCACCTCCTCCTCCTGCTCCGCGGTGACCGGACGCGTTGTTCGTGACGGGCAGCGTCCCCGGGCGGCGCATCTGGCGCGCCGTCTCACCGTCGATGTAGGTGAAGCCCTCGGCGAGGGTGGTGCTGCTATGAGGCAGGAACCAAACTCCACCGGTCCCGGGGCTCGCCGCCCGTAGTTCTAGCTACAGCTCCGTCACCGGTATTGGCTTGATACCGGCTGCTATCTGAGCATGCTGCTGCTGTTGCTGTTGCTGCTGTTGCAGTTGCTGAAGGTGATGATGATGGTGATGCGTGGGCACCGGTTGAGACGGCGGTGTTTGATGATGATGGTGATGATGATGGGCGTGCGCCGAACGGACAATGTATTCGTCATCGGAGAAGGTCTTCTGGTACTCGTGCTCTTTTCGTGATATCGCACGGTTCTTCCACTTGTAGTCTTTGAGCGCGTCTCGCACGCGTCTGCGATATCGGTAGTACAAGAGTATTATGAGACCAAAGAAGAGGCCCAGTCCTGTGGTGCACACCGTCACCAGCAGCACCTGCTTGCGTGAATCCGAGAAGGCGCAGCCCAACTCGTCCGCGGTCATGCCCTTGATGGGCTTGCTCTTGGATTCGGGCGGCTCGGCGCATATCACTGGGCTTGAGTTTCTCGGGACGAGTATCTCAGCCAGCCATAATTGACTGCAGTCACACACTAATGGATTCTCACTGAGATCCAGACGGCGCAATTCGTTCCAAGCGACCAGCGACTCCGAGAATGTGATAAAGGCGTTGTCACGTAGCATTAGATGCCTCAGATTTGGTAAACCGGCCAGAGAACCCTCCTCCATAACAGCCAACCGTTTATTACTGTTTAATACAAGAGTCTCCAGATTAGCGTTGTCCGAGAAGGCTCCCTTCTCCACGGTAGTAAGCAGCTTGGCGCCGGATACATCGAGCTTCTTCAACGTCGATAGACCTTGGAAGGCTCCTGACCGCAGGATCGTGAAGAAGTTCTGGCCTAAGGTAAGCTCCTCAAGGCGTGGCAACACCGCCAACTGTTTCGTCGGTACTTCGCGCAGTTTGTTAGCGCCAAGTTTCAACGTACGGAGGGCATTCAGGCCGCGAAACGCTCCATCGCTGATGTTATCCAGACCGGCGCCCATGATGTCTAGCACCGCCAATTGCTCGAGACCCTTGAACGCGTCGTCCGGCAACGAGGAGAAAGCGTTCCAACCGATGTGAAGCTCGGCGAGGGCATTCAATGGTGCCAGAGCTGGCGATGGAACAGTTCGCAATTGATTATCGTCGAGATACAGCACCCGAAGGGTGCCTAATTTCTGAAACGCGCCTGGTTCCACCTTCGATATGCGATTCTGACCCAAATCAAGCTCCTCGAGCTTCGACAAGTAAGCGAACAGGCCGTTCTTCAGCGTCTCCAGGTAGTTATCCCGCAGATTCAACACCGTGAGGGATTTCAGACCCTGGAACGTCTTCTCGGTCAGCGCCGAGATCTTGTTGTGCTTCAAATGGAGCTCCACAAGGTGTCGTTGAGCGTCAAAACTGCCGTTAGGTATAGTGAACAGGTGGTTGCTGGACAGATCGACGTTTTTCAGATCGCCGTAGAACTGGAAGGCTGCTGCGTCCACGATCTTGATGCGATTCTCCTTCAGCACTATTCGTTGGATGCTGGGATTCAATGCAATAGGTATCACGTCCAGATTGGCGCCCACGCAGGAAACCACTAAGGTGTCATCGTCGCAGGTACAGCCGTTAGGGCAGAAAGTCCGCGCCTCGGCGGTGCCGAGGGCGAAAAGGCCAACCAAGACGAGCAGATGGAGAACGCCGATGACGGTGAAGCTGCGTCGTGACGTCTGCAAAAAATAAACGAGGAAATTTTGATTAATTTACCTGATAAAAAACTCTTACTAGGGAAGCAGCAAATAAATACTGCGATAGTTATACACTTGAATCTCTTTTATACCATCAAGAATAATTTTCGAATAAAATTCGCGCGTTAATTCAAGACCCATTCAAGTTTCGTCCACTCAAGAATCACTGTGTGGAGAGTGCAGTGGACAAATTCCCCGAGTCTACGTCTAGCGTAGAACGCTGTCGACAGTCGCCTCGGGGAATCGATACCGTCTGGTGCACACCGCACCCAATTTATGCCGGTTTTACGACAAGAGCGTTGAATTATTTTCCGTGGAGCTCACCGCGCCGTGGCCAACGAGCAGCAACGTGCTCGTTCATTCTCTCTCTCTCTCTCTCTCTCTCTCTCTCTCTCTCTCTCTCTCTCTCTCTCTCTCTCTCTCCCTCTCTCTCCCTCTCTCCCTTTCTCCGCGCTCGTAACGTGAGGGTGAAGTTATTTCCGTTTTCGTTGGCCGCGATCGCGCACGTAGGTGCGAAATTAAGCCTGCCGCGCGCAGCTGAAACGCTCCACTGGCTAAATTATATCCGGAAATACGAGCGCCCGCGGCTGTTCCGCGGATAATAAGCTCCCGGGGCGTAAAAACTTCTATTCAAGGTGGAAACGCCTGAGCACGCCGTCGCCGTCCGGACGAGTCCGAGCGCGCCGTCCGGCCCCAAGTACGCCGTAAAATCTAACCGGGATGGCTGATCCCCGAAATGGGCGAAGACGCTCGGCGTCGTTTCGGACGGAAAGAAAGCTGGTTCTCCTCGGCAAGAAAAATTCGATATCGACCCAGACGGGTCCTGATATAGGCACTATGTCAATCGGATGAAGCTGGGGTATATACTCTCGCATGTTCCGAATTTAACGAAATCACCTCTGGTGATGTTTTCCTTTCTCTCTTTGCCAAGGTGCCTCAATGCGACTAGCGATCTATACTACCATAACATTGTTAATCTCCGGTGGACTAGGTAGGGTGTGACACCTCCCCCCCCCCCACAAGAGAGATGTAAACTTCTAACTTTTTGAAAAATACTGCGCGCAAGTTACCGTTTTATGTAGCTGGAGTTGCCTGTAATACTAAATTAGTATACTTATGATGAAGTGTACCATGAGGTACGAGACACCCTACACGGTTCGCCATGTTGATTTTTTTCACCTGGTTCGCGAAAGGTTAAACGCGATCTTTACGCGCTTCACGTAGTTTCAATCCTCGCGCGCGGTACAAAGCGAGTTTCTATCGGATCAAGCAGATTCAATCAAGATTGCCGGTGATCTGATGGATTGCGTTCAGCCTCGTTTATCTGGAGATTCATCATTCATGCACGATCACGGGAACGCGATTCGATTGATAAGAGTATTTTTCTTGCGATAACAATCCGGGTCAACAGAAGTCTAAAAATCCAGCGAAATCGATCGTCCGGCGTGACAGTCACACGAAAATGCCGGGAATATTAACGGCGTTTCGAGAGAGAAAGAGAGAAAAAAAAAAGAGCTCGCATGATTTACGCGTACGGAAGGATTTATTTCGAAAACTCGCCTCGTCTCGTCGGAGACCAGTGTCGGCACTGATGCACTCCGTATGTCCGTATTAAGCCACATATATATTGTACATTGCTCAGGAATTATAATACCAATGTATGTGTGTGTATCAACATGACGGATGTCCTAAAACTAAATCTAAGAGATATATTTACCCTTTAAGACTATTTTCGTGCAACGTGAACGACGAAATGTTTAACAAACTCCCAAGAGAACAAGTGGGCAAGTGTATTTTCAAACACTCTTCTCGAGCGGAGCAGAAATTTGCGAGACTTTAATTGCCGAGTTGCTCAATGAGTTGAAGTATAAACTGATTGAGCGTAGTTGGACGAAGGCAGGTATTTGCTCTCGGACGGTCCAAAGCAAATCTGGAGCACGTGGAGTCGGAATACCCCCTTTCGCGTATAAGTACGCCATACATAACGGGCGACTTTACATACGTTTCAGCGCGGACTGCGCTAATCCGCGCGACGAAATATGCGAGCCGCGCAGGGAAACGCGTCCGGATATTCGCCGGCGTATCACTGCCGCGCGTGTCGGTGCGCGTATTAAAGCTAAAAACGGTCGCGTCATTAGGAAAGGATTATGCGATCCCTGCGAAAACGCGGAACTTCCGCGCGTCCTCCACGCGCGTATGACCCCGTTACTCGTTTCTCATTTCACCCGTATTACGCGGCATCACGAGTTCCGGCCGTTATTAATGAGGTTTTAGGCCACAAATAGACTTTTCCTCGTTCTCCCTCGTCTCCTCATTCGTCGTTTATCTTCTTTAATTTGAATAAAAAAGATAATGATTTTAATAAGGAAGAACCAAATACTACTGTTATCCTCGGCAAATCGGTACATCCCAAACGGGAATTATCTATCAATCATTTTTATTAGAAAGAGATTTGTTATGTGAGATTTATTATGCGCAGAATACTTGCAAACCCGCGTCTTCGAAGAAGAAATGCCTAGTACCTTTTATTATCTAAATTGAAAGCGCTAACTTTTGCCTTCTTACAATTAGTATAGTTTTTGTAATTATGGTAGGATACTTGATTCTACATTTCTCCTCTTATTACTTCAGTTAATTTTAGATAATATATTACTATATATCTACATTTCTATCCGCACCAAAAGACTCTCCACAGAACACAATAAATTTCTGTCTAGGTCAGTCTCACTATATCTCTCCCTCTTTCTCTTTCTCTTTCTCTCTTTCTCCGCATTACCTACATATTCATTATTTTCAATTAGTCGTTCGGCTCATTGCTATAAATCACTGTTGTATTTTTTGTAATATTTCCATGCACGTTTTCTCTAATCTCATTACTTCGTTCATTTCGATTTCGCTTCAATTATCGTGCATCTGTATGCGGAGTATTTATTTAAAAATTTTTCTGATGCTCTCTTTCATACAGATACGAACTATATTCTTACACAGTAAAAAATCTTTTATTTACGTTAACCGGTTCTAAAATTTTTATATTGAATTTTTAACATATCTGAGTGTCAATTTTACAAGTTTACTTGTACATAATATAATTGTGCTCATTCAAATATCGCGTGTTAAATTGATATTCAACATTTCTCAGTATTAAAATAACACAATTTAAATAAATTGAATAAATGAACAAATAATGTAGAAATAATCTATTGCCTTAAAACAATTTTAAGATAAACGAATAAAATGCACGTGTTAATTTAACATGTTACAAATATTAATTGTTATACAATTACAATTCGTTTACAAATTTGTGTCAGTATTATACATTCATTATTTTAAATATAATATTTGTATTACTTTCTGACATAGGTATTCATCTAGTCGTTAAATTGATGACAAAAATTAGGGGGATCCTTTGAGATATATGGAATGTGTTAAATTTAACACAAATTTGTCAACTATGTACGGTTTTCGACAATCGAAATAACCGTACAAATATATATATTAGGTTGAGTAAAAAGTCATCGCGTATTTTTTAGCTCAAAGTTGTATATACAATATCTTCGTCAATAATGAATGAAATTCAAATTTAAAAAAAGGGTTTTAAAGCTTGAAATCTCTACTTTTAAAAGCTTATCACATTTTTTAAGTTTATATGAGTTTGATAATTTTTACATACCAAAAACTACGAGCTGAAAAAGACGAAAAATTTTCTTCTCACTTTGTGGATTTGTAACGTGTCCAAAACGAATTTGAGAAAATTTTCGATTACCTATCGTGAAAGCTTGATACTTTCCCTACAAAATCGTTTTTTTTTAATATTCCTACGACTTTTGATTACTGAGTTATCGCGGATTAAATAAAAGAATTATTTTGACTTTAATTGCTCATAACTCCATTAAAAATTGTCGTATCGTATAATTTAAAAAAGAGATTTTTAAAGCTGAAACTTTACTCTATTAAGATATATTTATATTGTTGGTAAGAAAGTAATTGCGGTTTTTACTGATAGATGTCTTTTAAAAAAACGCGATGACTTTTTACTTAACCTAATATTTATTTCTTCAGTCTTTTAAAACTTCCGTTACTTCTATCCCGTTTGTTCTTCTTAAAACTTCCAACAAACTTATCGACGAAGTGATGTTATCAATGTATAGTGCCGCGTGAACCGACAGGTTAGAGACCATCCGCGTCTCGATATTATTTATGCAATTCGGGGAGGCCGCCGTTGGCAGGTAGAGAGCGACTCATCGGCGTGCACGAGGCGCGAATTACGTATGCGACAACATGCGGTTGGAATCGGAATACCGGTGTCCGATTCAGACGTCATCGTCTGCTGCGGAGACAACCGGAGAAATTAATAGAGCAACGTGTAATAACCACCGCGAATAATCATGCCAGTTGGTCTCGCCGCCCGTGTCTCGTGCCATCGCATATCCATTTAGTTTCGAGTAAAAAGCATAGTTCACATATGTTCACATTTCTTTGTTGTCGTACTCTTAGTATTGTTCGAGATATTATATGTCTTTCAAATGCGATGCTTTCACTAGGTAACCTACTTATTTATCGAAAGATTCAATGTTAAACTGAAGACTCTCAAGTAAGAGTCTCATCACTTTTAATTGTTTCCTAAGAACAATCTTGAATTAAATAAACGCGGCGAAATATTACAACATTTGGGCACGTTTCTTATAAATATAAATTGGTAAAAGTTTTTCTTGCATGTTTCGCAAGGTGACGAGATATTTTGCTATAATGCAAATAATAGTTTGTAATACTTTATGATTATCACGTTCTTTAAGTGCTTAATAAACGGCTTCCCATATATTCTACGATACAAAGCAAAATATTGTCGCCACATTTGTCTCGACTGACCGGACTCTTGCTTGAGGATTTTTACATTAAACATTAAGGATGGTTCAAAAACTCAGATGGAGCTCTTCCCTCCGACTTTACCTTTGCTAAATAAGAAGCGACTTCAAAATGAAGAC